GGCGTGGGACGCGGTGCAGGCGGGCGCGGAGGCCTTCGCCAGCGAGGAAGGGTGGTAGGAAAAGAGGCGTCCAGCTTTCCTGTGAAAGCAGACAAGTAGCTGACAGTAACAATTTCAAAAGAACAGAGAGGCATGATTTCAATGCACGAATTTAAGTTCTGCGTACTTTCCAGGCCTTGTGCCCGTAGTGTTAAAAATGACTAAGGAAAAAAATTTAGATGATACAAACATTTATTTTCAGGCTGTCATGAAGTGGGAAGTCTCCTTTTGGAAAACTGTGAAATGGGGTGGGAGGCAGGAAGCTTTTAGGGTAAAGAATTGTCCACCTTAAATTCAAAACGGCCAGTCATTTTACCAGCAAAGTGGGCTTATGTGGGAAAAGCAGAGGAATTTGCAATTCTAGATGGGCGAGCATAGCAAAAGCCATAGGTAAGTCCAACAAGGGAGAGGACCATTATATAATAGAGGAAAAAGGAAGAAGAAGTTAGTAGGGGTGGTTTTGAAGAAAGGCCATTGGTGGAAAGTGGTAGTTGAGGTGGTGATGGTTTCTCATTGGTTAAATTGCTGGGCAAACAAGAAATCGTTCCTGCTGGGGCCTGTAATTGACATGGAGTAACTGATGTTTCCTGTGGTAGTGTGTGAGGGTCCCTCCTCCTGACCTCCCAATTCTATTTTAAATGAGGTTTCCTTTATTTGGCTTCACATTTTCTGCTTTTGATCAGGATCTTTCTCTGAAAGTCAGGTTTTACAGTTTCAGTGGCCTTTGTCTCGTCGTGCTGGGAATGACCTTTCCTGGGTGTTATGTCCCATTTTGGAGGGAAAGTGCACAGATTGGAAACCTATTGGGGTCACACTCAAGTAACAAGGAGGAGGGAGAAATCTCAGGCACTTACCATTTAAAGTCTGTATCTTAAGGTCACATGCATTGGAGACGACTTTGATCATTTTGAAGTGTTAAGCCAGCATCATCTTGTTAGATACATCATTTTTACAAAGGCTTCACACTCAACAAAATGCAGAACTTAGAATACTTATACAAAACAGAATTAAAGGTAATGTAATAATTCTAAATTGTATGATGGTTCTAAATTAGGACCTTAAGCCTGAGGTTAGCCAACTGAACAAATCCTGGAGAGTCAGCTGAGACTTGTTGCAATCAGTGCTCCTGCCCCTAGATTCTATGCAGTTGAGTTTCTGGTTTTCTAATCATATTTTCATTGGCACTTACTCGAAGCCAAGGGAAAAAGGCTCTCCCTATGGAGACAAACGTGGATTCATTTTGCCTCCCGGAAGTTCCCACTCAGGGTGGCCAAGCAGGTTTAGTAAAGTGGATTAACGGGAGGCTTCCATTTTGTGTTGAAGAGAAAACAACAGTGAATACAGAAACAGCACTCTCAAACTGAAAGAACTAACTGAGCATGTTGGGAAGACAGTGTAAAAATAGCCCTTGAGCTAAACAGCAAAACTTCAAAGACACAGTAAAATAGTATTGTCATCCCAAAAGAACTGTTCAGAATGAAATCCAAATGTGTTATCCAATAGTACATGTAGCCTGTAAGGCTGCACATTCAAAGACCATGAATTTAGATAAGATTCCAGAGACAGTTTATAGTCCAAATGAAAGACTTCAGTGAATTCTGAACCTCCTAACTCTTGGAAAAAAAAAAAGCAAGTGAAAGGATTAATTTGTCATGGGATCATGATGAGCCTGTTTCTGAAAGGCCATAATCAGAAGAAGAGTTTTCCCCCTTTTGCAGGGGTTTGGGAAATGCAGACATGGGCATTATCTTTCTATGAAAGAGAGAGACAGAAAGCAACAATGAGAAAAAAGGGTAAGCAGGCCTGATCACGCCATCTTGGGAAAGCTGTCTCTCTCAGATGTCAGCTGTCGG